GGTAATTGGAAGCATAAAAAAGTGGACTTTTAATCATAAATGTTACAAATGCTCCAGAAACATTGATTTAGGTTTCTTTTTATGTTATTTTTGGTTTCTTGGCAGTATTGTTTTGCTCATAATTTGTTTATCTAATTCAAACGCTGTGCAACAATATGTCCCTTGCCAGCCCCACTATGTGGATTCACTTTACATCCTACCCCCCCCCCCCCCGGATTATTTTCCCCCTTCCTTGTCCTAAAATAGTCCTAAGAAATACTTTTCACTTGGAAAGTAGATCCGTTTCAATAGCCAACAAGGCAAATACAGAGGTTAGTACAACAACGTATAGTTTTCTGAATTGTTTTGTCTGGCAGGTACAGGTACATGAAGAAGAAAAAAAGGGAAGAAAAGCCTTGAAGCATGTTTCATGAGCAGCATCCATGTATGATTTATAGGTTCATTTCTTGAATCGTCTTTTGTCTTAAATGGAGAGCATATAAATAACAGAGCATTACCTTCCCACAGTAAATTTTCAGTGGATTCTTTTGTGGGATGTCCAGAGGTGTTTAGATTATAAAAGTTGCACGCAAAGTGCGTTGGTTAAAGTTTGCGTGCGGTGATCGATATTATGGTCCGCTGCAGTGTTCAACATTTGAGTATTTTATAAGTAGGCCTACCTGCTAAAAGGATGGGAATAAACCCCCGTTGACGAAAACAGTTACCTTCAACTTACCGTGGCATCCGACAATAAAGCACAGCAACTTCACAATTAAAATAATATCACAGTCAAGTGTGCATGTGCGTATTTGGTTGAATATTCAAACCAACAAAAAAGCTATTCAATCTTTGGTTGATGATCAATATTCAGGACGGCTCTAAGTAAAGCTGGTCCCAGAGCACACAATATTCTTTTCAATTGATTTAGAGTGGATTTTCACTGGCAGTTCATTCATGCATCTGGTTAACACAATGGCCAGATTTAGCACATTGATGGGCATTACAGGGTAATCCTATACAACAGCACTGCCCGGCTCTCTTCATCAGCCAACAACCAGTCTAAGACACAAGTGACAGTCAGTCAGTCAGTCAGTCAGTGAGATCTACGATGAGGACACTAGAGTGGCCCTTTGGCACCAGCACAATTATGTTCATCATTTTCCTACAGAACAGAGAGATGAATCTGGCCTAATCTGCGTCGCGCTGCAGTTACACATGTACAATGTACATGTACATATGTACAAAACACTTCATGCCCAATTTCCGGACACCGCCTCCTGTTTTATATTAGATCCGAACAAAATTTTACGATGAGAAAATAGTTCAGTGCTTTCAAAAAATTGAAAAGCCTAAATTACGGTTAGAGTAACGGACTCGTCAACAAAAAAGTTCACTTCTTACTTGAGGTCTAGGAAAATTCCGAAAGACAGTAGCACCATTCATGATTGACACCATTCAATTATGTCCATGATTCAACCGACTAGTAGAACGTACGTTGGAAAAATCAGGCAATAATGTCTTTTTCTTCCAACAACTGCTAGTGAAATGTATCACTTATGCTCTTTTGCCATCCTCAAGATCATCATCATCAAAATTTTTAAAGCATTGCATTTTGTACAACTAATTCTGAAACCTCCAAATATCGCGCAACATGTGGATTTTATTGCAGTCAAACTCCACCTGCAACAGCCTTGAAGCTCTGTAGTACGTATTCAATCATGTCATGATAATGCTAACTTATTTCCAGTTAAAAACTACTCCAATCCGGACTTACTTATTTGCGTCTACCATGGATACAATCTGTGCACTGACAACTGGTAGAACAGTTTAAAATTGTGCTCGCAATACAAATGTCGCGGTGTTGTTTTCATCAAATTCGTTGAAATTTAATCTTAAAAATAAGACTTTGCAGGGAAGAGATCATCAGAAAAATCAACATTTTGGAAATAAATTTGAAAAAGTCGGATTTCTGATTATAAATCAGAAAAGCTTCATCTCTGAGTACATGTCTATTGCTTTAACTGCAAAGAAATAGTACACCCCCCTCTGTATGTTATCCAATACCGGTCATCACTGCTGGGCGCCAATTAAATACTTATGCTGCCTGATGTCAGAGAAACCGAAACTTTTCAAGGGACATATCAAATAATGTTTTCAAGGAAGACCAAGTAATACTACTTGACAAAGGAACGTGAAGGATGAAAACAAACCTAACAGATGAATGCAATAAATTCATTAACAACTCAAAACTACAGAAGAGGTGTTACATGTACATGCAAAACAATGTGGCAATACATGTATCTACCAGTACTTGTGACATAACCTACTTACAATATTTGTGATCGACAAAATGCTTTCATGCTGAATGTGTTTGCACCACCAGATCAATTTTGAATGGGGGATTAACAAGTAGTGTGTCGACAGAATGTTGAGAGACAACTCACACAACTTTTTTTTTTTTTGGGGGGGGAGGCACTGCAACTGTTCAAAGCAGACAGGACTAGTCAAAGCCATGAGCATGAACCAATTGTGTCCTTCATGTACACATACTCGGCGTGGAAGTGAACCCAAATGAGAATCTGTGGCAAATTTCGCAGCGAATGTTTTGTGGCATCAAATTGGCTTAACATTCACATTCGTGCAGAGTATGAACCCGCCTCAAGGCTGCATCTGAATCTCTTGTCTAGGGCTCCTGTCTTGGTCTTGGAGTTTAATAATTACAACTACATTGGAATATCCTGACAAAAGATATGACTGTAGCTCTGGCGGCCCACTTTGAACACAGCCTACGTGTAAGACATGTTCCATAGTCCTTTACACCTTACTGTACTGTTCAACACATCTATCACAGAATCCATACCCATGCCTACACTAACCTACTGGTAGATACATTTGTATGTACAGGCAAAGAGAAAGTCCTTTTCTGCAGTAGTCCCTTTAACACACCACCTGTGATGCAGCAAGCAGCAAGCAGCATGCAGCAACTGACATTAGCAGGAGTGTGGGAGACCCCCAGTCACTGTCCCTGCTGCTAGGGTCGCAGTCATGGAATAACTAACATGGATGGCCATGGCTTTAACTCCACAGTCAACAACTGCATGCTTACCAACATCAGCATCTATACTAAGTCAAGGCCCTCACAGATCCCTGATGGAACTGGTGTTTGTAAATATTAGGAAACAAGTTGACTGGGATGGATTCTGTTATGCTATATGCAGAATTTACATCTTGTGTATACTGACAAATCCAACAGTATATCACAGATGGATCCTCTTGCAAGCATTTTGGGTTGCCTCAATGAGAGTTGACTGGTTTGACCCGACAATCTCTTGAAATAATCAAACAAATGTCTACATTCATGGTCACTTGAAGGCCTGCAATCGCCTCTGTGGGGCTGTTTTGTAGGTCTATAGCTACGCCCTCCCCAAGCGTCTATACAATGTAATGATAAAACATACTTTTTGACAATTTTTTTTTGGGGGGGGGGGTTCATTGTAGATCTGTTTTGCACATTGTGATTGAGAGAATAAAACAATTTCCACATAATTTCCTCACATTTTCAGTGCTTGGTATTTATTAATGGCACATCGGAGCATTGATAATTACCCAGAAAAGGACCTACCAATTTAATTAGAAAAAAATTGATCCAGTACCCTGCGAAATGATTCCACCTGAAATGGCATCAGTCAGACGAAAAATTAATTGAAGGTTGTTTTATCTGCGGGCACACTTTCTTTATGTGCGTTAGCAACGGAGTCCAGTTATGAGACCCAAGAAATTGTGCATATATGTTTTCTTTGTTTTCTAAAATGTACAGTATCTACTAAGATGAAACTTCAACGGATTGGTTGTTATGCACCCTACTTCAGATTTTGGGCCATTTTATTATTTCAAACACGAAACAAATGATCATAAGTAAAGTTCTAGTATTTTACGTTAGTTTTTCCTCTCTTCAAAAACTTGTAGGTCTATATAGGGGAAGGGCACATGGCAAGACCATAGATAGCCCTTATGACATGATAATCACGATATGAAAATGCCACAATACAATAGGTAGTATCGAAAACGAAGACCTCTAAAACAAAGACCGAAGACCGAAGACCCACTCGAAAACAAAGACCCACTCGAAAACGAAAACCCACTCGAAAATGGGTCTTCGTTTTCTAGTGGGTCTTGGGTCTTGGTTTCAGGGGTCTTCGTTTTTGATACTACTCAATACAATATCGCAAATCAAAAAATGTGAAATCTCAATATTTGGCTATGAATAAACTTGGACAAGAGACAGACTTTTCAGCCATAAGAAATCAAATGCTGTGGATAACACGTATTGTGAAGGTGACTGAAACTTTAAGAATTTCAACACGTGCCTCCAAAATGAAAAAATTTAGCTTTAGCAATGTCACCACATTGCAATGATTTAAAAATACAAAAAAAACTGTACATGCCAAATTTATGGACAACTTCAATTTAATGGACACCATTTGCAAAATATGTGTTTTTGCCAGTTCAAAGTAGAACAATACAATAAATCTATAGCAGGTTATTAAAACTATCCTGTCAAAATTTCAGCTCAGGTGAAATGTCATATTTTTTGGGGAAAAAACACTGTGAAAATGCATTTATCTTTATCGTCACATTAAAGCACAGGTTTCCGTTGAAAGCATGATGGTTTGGTCCAAACCATCACAAGAAAATGATAGTCATTCCTATTTTCTCAAAATGGCAGCATTCTACATGCCATGATTTCACAAGATGCATGATCCTACTATTTACTTACAATCACATAGGATGTTTCATGGGTATTTTGGAAGTGTGTATATGGTGTTCATTACATGTACCTTTAAAAATTAATAAACTGACATATATCAAAAAGCTGCCATAACTACCATTTGTTAAGTTCACAATGCGTGTTGTGACTTCATTAATGTCACGGTTGTGAATTGCGACTTCAACATGGTACTGAATTGAGTAATGTAGTGTAATACAGACCACCACATCCTGATATCATCATCAACCCTTACCGTTCTTGGTGGTGTTGTAGAAGAACAGATTGTTATTCCTGGTGACCTGCCTTCCCAAGAGTTTACCAACTAAACTGGGTACCAGGGAAGAGTCAATAGCGCCTTGTTTCTCCTCATCCACCTCACGGAAAGCAGTCCTCAATGCTGAAAATGCAACAGAAGAGAACAGTTTATTCTTCAATGGTGTTTCGTTGCACAGAGTTTGCTCGACTTGAAAGACTGTGTCAGACTATGGCTGACCTATGTGTGTTAATCATAGCGGTTCAGGATGTTTGCTAAGTGAAGGGGGATGTGGTCGGTATCCTGCAAAAGGTCGATGAAATTTCACGACCAAAATCTGACAAGGAAATTGTGTGCCACAGCAAATGCTGCACGTACAGTCTACATGCTTCTTAAACTATTTCCCACTTTCAGATTCTGAGGCCTACTGTAATTAAACTGCTCACCAGAAAATATTGCTTGTCATATTTATTTGCTATTGAAGGCGGGAAAAATGTTAGTAGAAATATACATTACACAAAAACATTTTTGATGAAAAGCTCTTCCTACTATTAAAGCAATTTTTTTTCTGTGGTTAGCATAATTTTATGCCTTGCAGCTCCATGAATAGAAGTGAAATACAATACTGAAATAGACCCCAGGATTTAACTTAGAAAAAAAATGGTACTTCTTTTCATTTCTGTTTGCAGGCTACAAGTGTGCGTATTTTACTGGGGAACTTTTTACATTGCCAGCACAAAGACATGAAAATGTTGAAATGCTAAGGTTTTCATCTGTAGGAATTATGGGTTTGATGCATGGCTTTTTGGGTGATGGGAATGATCCCTATTTAAGGATGTGACGTTTACAAGTTTAAACGAAAAAATTCTAAATCCGTTTATAAATTTTCCAGAAACGTTTAAACAAAACCCGAATTATAAAAAAGGGACCTACGTTCACTGTTCACGCAGTCTTCCTATGAAATAAACCTACATACATGTAGCACAAATAATTAATAATGTTTTCAAAGCTTTTCAGGTTACAAAACCTTTGAAGCACTTCAACACTTGATTACATTCGGGGCACACTTAGTTAAATTTTTACATTTTCAATGACTGCCACTGTTGATTTATCATGTCAATCACACCGGTCTGTAGACATAATGGGCATACATCAGCCTTTGTTAATGGCTTAACGTTTAAACGATTCTGAAAATATTTGCTAAAAGTTTACAAACTTTAACGCAAACTCACATCTTTATACCCATTACCCTTTGTTTTGCACCAATTTGTTTTTTATTCCGTGTAATAATTATCCACGAATTTCCTTCTCAATGGTATACAGCATGAACTGGAAACTTTGAAGCAACATCAACCCTGATCCTAAGGTATGCATACTACTGTGATGTCATCACCCTGTGTTTGCCACAAAAAGAAATGTATGCCAAATCTCTAGGTTTGTTTAAAATTAGTTTAAAACAAAATTAGAAATACACCAATGGATATGATTTAAAGTTTTGCAGGGTGAAGAGTATGCAACTTAGGAGGAGTTTGCAAATACACTGTCAGTACTTACATCTATACCAATCAACGCATAAGGTTACATGTAATGCCAACTCATCATCTCAGAACCCCTTCTCTTTTCAGAGACAGTACTAAAATTTGCATGTGCAGTATTTTCATACATCTCTAGACTCTAAATATGGCGGTAACAATGAAACCCCAACAGCAGGAAGTCCTTGCCCCTGAACTTGTCCAAAATGCATCAATTGGTTTTTGCTCATTGATGGCAGCATTAGACTTATTGGCAAACAAAAACTAATCCTATTCAGCCAAATGACAAAGCTCATCAGTGTTCTGCAAAAGTGGTCACGTTTCCGTTTACACACCTACACATCAACCATTGGAGGGCCCCTAACCACTGACAAACAGTGTGAAGGCCAAGTAGAAAGGGCATTATTTCCTGATCAACATGGGACATCACTGTTATAATAGGACCGCCTTCTGACGTACTGAAACCCACTTCTGAAAATTAATTTTCCTGCTGGCTTTTTAGACTGAAACTTTGTGGAACCGACAAATTCTTTCATATTCTACCATATCAGATGACAAGTCCTCGCATACAGAAATGAATCATATTGGACATAATGCCAAAACCCTCGGGCAGGCGAAAATTATATGATTGTTCCAAATATTTAATAGTCTGGCCTTGAAAAAAGAAAGTGCAGCTTTTGTTTTGATGATATTGAAGGTTAGGAGTCCTACATGTAAAGTGTGATTATCATTCCATTTAGAGTAATATATTCAATACACTAGATGGAACTGTTTCAATCATCGTGGAATTTCCTTGTTATTCTAGTGGTTTGTTTATCTACAACAATTTGACAGAAAAGGAACAAGCTATAAAATGAAAACCCCATACTATAAACCCTAATATGTGCAAAATGTCTTGACTCTGTACAGAGAAAGACATGGATAAGATGTTTACACATTTAAATGTTATGAAGGAGAAAAAATACGAAAACCCGTGCCCGCATTTTCCTGATGTCTCCAAATAATCAAATATTTTTACACCACTGGGTGACAACAAGTCATAACACAAATGCCACATGTAGACACTCAGGATGTTGGACTCAAATGAGAAACATTTGAGGATCTGCAGATCATTACGGTTGAAAATCTAATGATGTGTTTATTGCCTGCACATGCCATGTATGTACAACATGATATGTGTCACATGAGAATGCTGTTTACAAAAACAGTGAGCGGAAATGAAAAAGGAAGTTTCTTCCTGGATATTCTTTCTTACATCCTTTTCCACTTGTGCATTTGTCCGTATGTGCTTCAAAAAGACCAATACAGAATTTAATTTAAAAAAAAATGATGGTACTGGCAGGTCCTTAATTAATGGTAGTAATATGACTAAATTGGAAGGACGTGTGATGGGACATGATGAAAAAAAAGGAAGATGTAAAAAAATCTGTACAGTTCATTCACAAGACTAATTTCCGAATTTCAAACCTATAGAGTTTTTGAGTTTTTAGTAACGTATCTTTTTTTAGTAGTTTTAATAGCATCACATCTTATCGGTTTTGTAACAAATCAAGTTTAAATGAACAGAGTGAGAAAAATTCTTTGCCAAGTTGCGAACAAAGGTCAAGCTCATCTATTTCGTTTAGGGTTTTCCTTTTGTGGGGGGGGGGGGGGGGGGGGGAGGCACAGGCAACTGGCCCCGCGGTGGCAATATTATGAAAGAATCAAGTACGGTAAACTTCATCAAAATAGGTTTTGACAGAATCACCTTCACAGTTGCTTGTGTTTTTGTTTTCTTTCAAACACTTAACAGTACACTTAAATGGGCCTTTCACTATTTAGCTAATGGTGTACATAAATTGTGGGTGTCCATGTTAAGCATACTTGACAAAACCCAATATCTTTTAAGTGGATTTTGACAGCACTTTGTAAAGTTTCAGGGTCGTGAATACAAGGACAGGGAAAAGAAACAAGCGTACATCTCATTCCACTTTAAACAAACTGATTCTTTCGATACATAGGGTCCCAGATATTGCATACAGGATGCCTGCTCTAAAGCTGTCACAAAATGGACAAAAAAACAAGTACTTTCTCATACTGTCTCCATAGAAGGCCTAATTTTCACACTAAAGCCTCTCAACGCGGGTTGAACTCAACCCTGGGCAAACCCAGTGCCACCCGGGTTGAGTTTTTTTAATTTTTCAACCCCACGTTCAACCCTGCATCATTTCATAATGGTTTCATACAAACCGAGCTTCTTTCATTTGGTTTATACTCCCTGGACGAGACTTTCAACCAGGGTTGAAAATCCTCAACCCTGTGCATGGTCTGGAGCAAATCAATCTCAAGGTTGACGCAGGGTCGGCACAAGGTTAAAAATGAACGCCGCATGTTTTCAACCCTGCATCAACCCTGCATCAACCCCGAGATTTGTCTAGTGTGAAAAGGCCTTATATAGTTGGGCCAACGATGATTTTGTGGGTAACAAACCCATTGTGGAGACACTAGGGAAATCCGAACAACTTCATTCAAATTTTCGTAACAATATAAAATCTCCCCCATAGTGTATTCCTTCCAGCCAATGTTATACAAAACAGGGAAGAGATTGTCTGAACAATTCAATGAAAGGTCTGAAAGATGCATTTTTTTTCTATACTGATTAATGTCTTTCTCCGCAGATTAAAAAAGGTCTGATTTTAGACTAAAGTCTGAATAATCTCATTGCCTTACAAAACAAAACAAAACAAAAACATGAGCTGAACAATGGGTGAATGGCCCTTTTTTATGGTATTTCACAAAGAACAGCGCTTCATATAAAAACACCAAGTTCTGGGTTTCGGCCACATTCTGTGCCGATTAATCACACCTCTTGGGGTCATGTGAGGACATAGTTAGCTTACTGACATGTCAGCGAGCCACCCAAACAGTAAAATGTTGGGCCAAAGCTGTCAACGTTGGAATGGCAGATCATAAATTGTCTGTTGGGCACCGGCCGAGAAAATGATCAGTATGTGGAAGTTGTGTGTTTATGTTTGAAAAATATTATAACCTCGCTCAAAATTAACATGAATGAAATGCAAAACTAGTATGAGAGTTGACACAGCAATGATATCTTGCTTTCGTTTGCAAGCTTTTAATTGATTACATTTTTTTCTAAATCCCTTTTAAAAAGTTGAATAAATATGTAATTTATCACTTCAAATCACTGACAATGTAATTTATGTAGTTTGATTTCACATTCGTTTTACACATTGAGTACCTTTTATAAATGTCCTGTATTAGTTTCATTCATGCAGTTATGTGTTTTAATTTGGGGTACTGCATGCCCAGTTTTACTATCAGATTAGAAGTTTTGTATTCATAAATATGATAAATACCTGAGACAGTTTATCCATTCCTATTAGTCGAGAGCCTTTCACGTGGATGGTTTTATACAGTTGACAAAACTTTTTCCAGGATGTCACATGAATTTGGACTCCTACGAAATCTGGTCCCTTTTACCCTTTCATTGGTTGAACCTTCACACCTGACCAGTCACTCTCCAAATTATCTTCAATTTAGGCATGCACAATACTACCAATCAGACCCTACTTCACAGAGTCTTAACACTACACTAGCACTGCTGCGTTCTGT